TGTATGTATGTATGTATGTATGTATGTATGTATGTATGTATGTATGTATGTATGTGTGTATGTATGTATGTATGTATGTATGTATGTATGTATGTATGTATGTATGTATGTATGAATAGGTGGGCTTAACGAAAATCTACCTGAAATACCAGGCGATCAAAATGCAAGAGCAAGAAACTGGAGTAAGTAAACATTTTTTGCGAAGTAATAAAAACTAAAAAATAAATTGCTTAGTTTTCTTGCTGCTGATTTCTGTTCGCCTGGTATTTTGGCAGAATTTTCGGTGCAACCTCTGCTAAATCTGCATGTATGTATGTATGTATGTATGTATGTATGTATGTATGTATGTATGTATGTATGTATGTATGTATGTATGTATGTATGTATGTATGTATGTATACAAAATTCAAGAGCAAGAAAACGAAGTAAATAGAAATTATTTGCGAAGTAGTAAAAACTAAAAAATAAATTGCTTAATTTTCTTGCTGCTGATTTCTGTTTGCCTGGTACTTTGCCAGAATTTCAGCAACATTTTTGGTGCATCCTCGGCTATATCTGAGTGTATGTATGTATAGGTGTGATCAGCGAAAATCTACCTGAAATGAGAGGCATACAAAAAGCAAGAGCAACGAAGACTAAATGAAACTAAAACAAAAACTAAAAAATTATTTGATCAGTTTTCTTGCTGCTGATTTCTGTTCGCCTGGTACTTTGCCAGAATTTCAGCAGAATTTTCTTAGTCTGTGTATGCATGCATATATATGAATGTATGTATGTAGGTGTGTATGCATGTATAGGTGAGTTCAACGAAAATCTAATTTAAATGCCAGGCATACAAAAAGCAAGAGTAACGAAGAGGAAATGAAGTAAATAAAAAATATTTGCGGAGTAGTAAAAACTAAGTAGTAAGAACTGATCAGTTTTCTTGCTGCTGATTACTGTACGCCTGGTATTTTGGCAGATTTTATGGTGCAACAACGGCCATATCTGGATGGATGAATGTGAGCATGTATGTACGTATGCATACATATAGTAGGCTCAACGAAAATCTGCCAACCAGCCAAAATAAAATGTCCCAGGTTATTCTTTATAAATTATAATAAAATACTTAATTCAGCTTAAATACACAGCAGACTGAAAGTCGTCGACTGAGCCTTTTTTTTAAAGATCCTTAAGGACGTGGCGAGCGCAATGAATTCGTAGACAAATTTTTGCAATATGTCTGAGGATTCTAAGTCTCTTAATAATATGCTAGAATATGGTCAAGTATGAGCCGTTGCATTAGGAGTGAAATGAGCTCAATATAGTTGAGCTGCAGCAATGAGTTATGAGCTCAGCTAATAATCGAGCACCTAAGAATACTTTTATAATTAATAATTATTGTAGATCACTTGATACTGCTTTAAAGTTATATCCTGCTTCATAACAGACCAAAGCATATGTTTTATTTAGAAAAATAAAGCTGATGCTTATCCTAGCGAGGATAACATCGTAAGCACAGCAAGCATCAACTTACATTTGATCAATTATTTTGTAAATTTATATTTCAATTATATTTTTTTTATTTCAATATTCTTTTAATTTATATTTCAATTATATTTTTTAATTTTATATTATATATATTATTATTATTATTATTATATAATTATTATATAATTATGTATATTTAATTGATTTTGTACTTACTTGAAGTTGAGATTTTTGAAGGAGAAATGAACCTCGACAATGCCGGTGGTCTTGACTCGGGTGCGCAAGATATCCTGCTCGGTAGGCTGATAGTCCTTGGCGCCTAACCGATCCAAATCGTCCAGGAAACTGCAAAGAGCAAACAGGCAAACAGACAGCGGTCATTAGTAAGGGCTGCGATGTTGCTATGAGGCTTCAAATGTTTGTCTAGCTGCAGCTGGCGGCGGGGCAAATACACACACACACACAATTTGCGGCGCAGGCGAAGCGCTGTGCAAACAATTAAAATGTAGCAAAAATGTAGGCGCCGGCAAGTGGCAGCACACGCATAGATACAAATGTATCTGAGAGATACAAATGCGAGCACACATAACACACGTCTACACGTCTGTGGCATCAAGTTTCGCAAGCTTCGCATTTTATTTGTGGCCGCATAATTAGCTTTATTTGTGACTCTCAATCAGTCAGAGGTTGCGTGTTCAACAAGTGGGTCAGCCGCAAATAGAAAATAAAGATAGACACAGAGTGAAATGTGGCAGCAGAAGTCGCAGTCCGGGTCTGAGTCCGAGTCCGAGTCCAGATCTCGGCTGTAATTGCGGCGACGCACGCAACAATTTGGCAAAAGAAACTAACAAAAAGACACTCAATGCAGGTGTTAAGCGCAGGTAAGCCGAAAAGACCAGACATATCTAAGGTCTTTTTAGATGGGTCGTAAATAAGTTTTTCATTTCTGGCCGTTGTGCGTTTGTCTTCTATGAGGTCGCATTGTTATTGTGGCAATTACTTTTGTGTTCGTTGTGTGTTTTTTGATTAACGCGACTTGCTCAACTTTCAGTTGTGGGCCCCATTGATCATAGTGGAACAGTCTGGCAACGCTGTCGCAAATGCAACACCCAAGGATGGGGGAAAATTGGCCAAGTCACGCTTGCCATGCTCCAAATGTATGTATGCCATAACCGCAACCGCAACCGCAACAACAAACACACGCGCAGCCCATTCAAGCGGAAAACTTTAGTGCATAATACTCCACATAAACCTCGATATATATGTGTATATATATATAATGTTTACACTGCTTGCATGAACGTAAGTCTGGCAGGCAGTGTAAACATTTGTTACATTTATATGGCACACGCTAATCAAAACTTATTCACAATTTTCACTCTTCGATGATCTGTGAACGCTCGATCTTATCCGCAATGCTTTCGGTCTATTGATATTGCATCATATGCCATACAGTTAGCACTTACTGTGTGCGCAGAGAAAGACGGGGCAGATGGAGAGAGAGAGTGAAAAAGTTTGTGGCTCCACGAGAAAAAAAGGGCTGCGACCAAATGTTCAAAAGGTCAACACAAAAAAGTAAAAATAAGAGAAAAAACCTGCAGCTGTAAATAATGTTTGTATAGGTCAAAAATACATAACCATTCTAAATGTACATTTATTTAATTTATTAGCCTCGGGCTGTGTTTAACGAGCTCCTGCGTAGCACAACAAAACAGCATATTCAGTTCGTTTATTAAATTACTTTGGCTTGTTTAACTTTGAAAATTTGTTCTTCATTTTTCAATTTTAACTCAATTATTTATAACAAAATAATTAATAAGCTTTTAAAATAAAAGGCAGCTTGATTTCTTTTATCACAATCAATTAAATTATAAAATAATCTGTCTAATTTATTATCAAGATAATTTATTATAAAATAAATTTTGATATTTTCTTTTTTTTTAACTGCTTGAATTAATATTTTACTTAATTATTATATTGAATTAAAATATTTAAAAAATCGAAAATATATAAAGCTTACATCTGCCTTGCTATTTGCATTTTTTTATTTTTTGTTTAATATTTTCAAGTTTTTTATAAATTAGTTTAATGAGCCGCATAGCTCTCAGAATTCCCTATTTTAATATAATATTTTTTATTTTATACATATTACAAGCAGATGGCAAAAACTGGTATTTATGATGCTGAAATTCTCGCCTTGGCCAAAGGCAGCCAACTGTTAAGGGTACTTAATATGCTTTATGGCTGAGTGCATAAAGTAAATTTTTTATGCAATTTCCAGAGGGAGAGAGATGGCACACACGAAGCCGACAGAGACAGAGAAGGCAACACGTCGTTAGTTTATATGCAAATATCTGTATTTGTATATTTCTATTTATTTTGTTTGTTTTTATATTTTAGCAATTGCCTAATGACGACTGCCATTAAGGCCTAAGCGAAATGAAAGACGAAGAAAATTAGATAAAACATAGATCAAATTGATTAAAATGATTTAGGCGCGACAATAACCGTTACGAATTAATGTTGAAAACAAACTTTTGCTTTTTAGTAAGATTGATTAGCGGCTAACACTTTCAATTTCAAATGGTCAGCGAAGAAGAAACAGACGAGAGAGAGTAACAGAGAGAGACAATTAGCGGGCGTATCTTAACAATAAAACTAACAGTTGAAGCCAAAATTAAAATAAAGCAGTTGTGCAGAGTTGACTGCTATGATACCCTGTAATTAGACGGCGCCTAAGAGAGTTGTCGAAGTAATGTTAAAGAAAATTTTGACTTAAAGTATAATAATATTTGTATGGAATTTGACAGACACCTTTCTATATATTACATTTGGCAGGCTTTAGATCATATATTTATAGACAATTACTGAACAATAAGTTTTTGCACACAAAAAAATTTAGCATTTCATTCATTTATAAATTCATTTATAAATTATATGCCAGTTATTTGTTAAGGATATTTATTTACATATTTTGTAGCTACCGTTTTGTGTATCTAGGCTCAATGCCGCCATAAGAAATATATTTAAAAAAAATGCTGCAAATTAATAGATTAAAAAATGAGTATATATATATATATATATATATATATATATATAAGAAAAATATTTATATATACATACATATATTATAGTAACAAATAATAAACATAAATATACATAAAAATTAATTTTATATATTTTTATTTATTTTCAATTATCAACATTTTAATATTAATTTAATTTGAACAGCATTACTTTATAACTTTATGGAATTAAAATCAAAATATACAAAATTTTATTGAAGGAAAACATTTCACATGCAAGTCATAAAGCCCCACTTCAATCGTCTAGGGTATTCAACAATAGCTTGTAGATCAGCTTTGAGCTGCTCACGCATACAGCTCCAATTGCTGGCGCACGTAGACCAAACCCGATCCACTCCGCCGGGCCAGACTGGACCGGAGCGGAGTTTAGGCGCTGCGCTGCGCTGCTCGGGCCGTGCTTTTAGACAATCCTATAAGTAGACTAAGAAGCGCTGCGATCGCGTTTAGTGCGTCGCGTTTGCTCTGCGAGGCAGCTGGCAAAAGCGGAGTTACGACTTTCGGTTCGTCTATTGGCCAACAAGTTTGCAAGCTAGCGTGACGCTTTGATGTTTCAAGTGGAAGTGGAAGTGCCACACCAAGTGAGTGAAGCTACCTACACACAATATACCAGATATATATATGTATATATGTTTTTGTGCTTTTGTGTTTGTGAAAATGACAATAGAAAATCGCAACCGGGTTTTAGTTCAAACAGACAAAGAAATAAATAAATGCTGTAAGCGCTGACAAGTGAAGCCGAAGCTGAAAGCTAGCAAAGGCCATAAAAAGTAAGGCGGCCGAAATACTTGGGCAAATGTAACAACAGCAAAAACATTAACTAAAACTAGTTAAAGTGCAATGCACTTCATTCCGTTTGAGTTATTTGCCATTGCAAGTGAAGCGTTAAAAGGCAGCTGAAACGCCAACATTGAAAGGCTTTTGACAAGTGCAGAGCAAACAAATGGAGGCGTGCCACAAACAGCAGCAGCAGCAGCAACAGCCACACCTCAAAATGCATAATTTATAGATCTCCAAATGATATCAAACGGACAACCGCTGTTGGCTGTTGCAATGCAAAAACACAAAACAAAAAACTACAAATATTTAAATAAAAAAAGCCTCACGATGAAAACGAAATCGCCAAACCGAAAACTCAAACATAAAAGAAAAATAAAAATGCCGAAATAGCTAACAAATGTCATAATTTATGCAGCTTGAAACTTTCTAACGATTTTTAGCGATTTATTTGCTGTTAAATAGATTGATAGCAAAAATATATCAATTTTTAGCATTAGTGCGCTAATGAATAGAATCTTTTTTGCGAAAAAAAAAAATTGAATTTCGTTTTCGATTTCGCCTTCAGTCGTGCGCAAAGTTGACTTGAAAAGCTGCTAGAACACTGCGGGCTACAAGTGGCTGCAAGTGCCAATAAAAAACGTTAGCCAACTCAACGGAAACTAAAAGCTTGCAGCCGTTCAATGGCCACAAAGCGAAGCCCTAGAACCAAAGAGAGAAACTTGAATATGTAACAATGAAGTGAACTTAAATATGCATTTGGCCAATGATACGAAAAAGGAGTTAAGTGAAGAGTTTAAATAGAAAAGTTTTAGAGTTTAAATAAATTTAAAAAAATATAATTATTTATTTTAAAAATATAATAAACATAAAATATTTATATACTTTTATAAAACTTAACTATTTCAAACTAAAACTTAAATAGCCCTTGCTTTCCCACCAGTTCTGCCCACGCTACTCAGCTTCTCACAATTTTAGCTCTCAAAGTGCGCCAACTCCACCACAATTTTTTACAGTGCATTAGCATACTAGTCGTTTTTTTTCATTCAATACTAAAGATGCGACAATTGAAATCGTTGTGCATTGGCTAAGCAAAGTCAAAGTCAAGTTGAGGCCGCGCCTGCGAGACAAAAGTCACTTAAACGGCTGCTGCAGAAGCTGCTTGACATTTTGATTTTCTTTGCTTTTCTTTACTGTTTTTTTTTGGGGCAAGCGCAAGGATTATCACTCAAGTTCATTATGAGGCATGCCCCGATAAGATGCTAGTGTGCTTGCAAGCATGTGTGTGTGGCTAGATGGCTTGTGGTGCAGGGCTCAAGTGCTGGACGGCAGAGCTGAAGGTCGTCGTTTGTCAAGGCAAGGGCAAGGATATAAGCTCTGAAGCATAATGCCAAGATTGTGTGTATACACACACAAACACACACACACATAGAAATTGAGCCATAAAAATTGTGTGCGGCAAATGGGATTTAAATTACCAGCGCACAGAAGTTGCAAGTTAGGAGCAGGCGCAGAGAGAGAGAGATAGAGACAGAGAGGGAGAAATAGATAGAGGGAGAGAGATTTAAGACAGAAAGAGCGAGAGCGACAATGGCAGCGCTTTGTGTTTTGGCAGCGACATGCGGCGTATGAGCAATATCTCAATATTGCTCATACGCAGCGTGCCACACAAATCTCGCTTTGAAGGGTATAGACACGTCTATATATAAGCAAATATATATATATATATATACATATATATATTGAATGCTTTTTGTTAGCCACTTGAATTTTATTGGCTACACACACACACACACACACACAGCTCTAACAATGCTTGCTCTGTTCAGCTCTGTTGCTATTTGAGTTTTGGGCTAAAATCAAATGTAAACTGCTTGAGCGCAGCTTTTTGGCTTTTATTTGCCTGGTTTTTAGGCCGCATATTAAGTTCGCTTTATTTTCCCGTTGCTATTATTGCATAGGCATTTTGTAAATTGTTCATTGTTTGCTGGCGCTCGCTGAGAGCACTGCATTTGGGACAATGTGATGCGAGAGTCTGGGCCTGAAAGTTGTTAGTTGAGGTTTACATTTATGGCCACATATCGCATTTATGCTCAGGCATAAATATTTTGTTTACGGACTCCTAACCTTCCATTATTTAAATATTGACAGCAATCTCAACTGTTTGCATGTTAAACAAAGGAGAGACAGGGCAGCTGTGGGAAGCTAAGCAAAGCTTCTTCATAAACAATCCCATAATTGATGTTCTCAGCGATTCTGTATTTAAGTTGGCAATTGCTGTTTGCTTCGCCAATTCACATAGCTGAGCTACATTATTTGCGAGCTCTTATATAATATTAAACATAGCGCGCAGCGTCGTTCGGTTGTGTTCATAATAATTTGCAAAAAGAAAAACTTTTCATAAAGTGCATGGAAATTGTAATGCCAACTCATCTGGAATAAGTGACAGCCGCAACAACGTTTCGTAAGTTTTACGCAACAAAACTACTTAAAATACATTTCATATTTAATTTTTTTGCTAGTTTTCATTTATTTTTCTTTCGCCCAGTTGCCGACTCGAGTGGGCGGCACCAAGTGGCGACAGAAACTTGTTAAAGTTTCTGCTTTATATTTTCCAGCCATTTACAGTCGTAATCGCAGCACTGCTCTAGGGTTTAGGGTCCACTTCTCTATGCCATTTGTTTTTATACAGCTGTGTATAATGAGCTGAGTTGATAAAATCTCTGATTGCTCCCGTTCCTTGGAGGCTGCAGACAATGACAATTCTCAAGCCAAGGGTCTCTAATGAAACGTTTCAAACTGTCATCAATTTTAATGGCTAATCCAATTTGTGTTCAGCACAAGACAAGTTCTAGATAAAGGCGTAATAGTGTAAACTGCGTCTCTTTATGCAATTTTCATGACTTCAATTTAGCTCATTTGAGTTCTAATGCTAATTTCATTGATGTCATATTTCAGCTTTTATTTTCTATTATTAAATGCTCTTTTAGATTTTATTCAATTAAATTAGTATTTCATCGGTTTTTGTGCTAATTTTGTTGACATTTTAGACATTGACATTTTTGAAATATTTTTATTTACGTAATTAATTATTTTAATAAATTTAAAAAATTTGAAAAAATATTTGAAGTTGAAATTTATAATAAGTTTAATATTAAAATTAATTTTAATTATATTATTTGAGTTTTTTATGTATTTAAATTAAAAATATAATAAAAATATATTTTTTAAATTTAATTTAATGATATATTGATATTTTAATTTCAATTTCTATGAAATTTCAATTTTTATTTTCAATTTCAAAATTTTGACTAATTTATTTTTTTATATGCATTTCTTATGTTAAAAATGTTTTTTTTTTAAATTAATTAACTGAATTTTTATTCAGCTCACCCAACTCAATATATTCCATTATTTCACGTCTCTCTATGCGATTTTCATAAAATGCAAATGAAGTTCAAATCCATTCAAGATCTCCAGCTGCATTTTCTACATAATTCTGGCAGGCAACGCCTTTATTGCAACTGCTTTAACAAACTTGAATTGCTTTCAGCACAACCAAACGACGACAAAGTATTGAAAGGCTTCGAAAAAAGAAAATATGTCAAGCATACGGAAGACCACAGTGGCGCTGATAAAGCGCAGCAGCTACTCCGCCACGTCGACGCTGTTGCCCAGTGCCGGAGGCGGGGCTGCCGATGCAGCCGCACCACATGATGGCGTGGGCGTGGCAACGGAAATTGAAAAATCCCTGGCGTCTGGAGCGATGCAGCGACAGCGACAACAGCAGCAGCAACAAAAGCAGCGAATGAATACTGCAATCAGCAGGTGAGTGTCGACAGCTAACAATATCTGCCGCATACTGTGACATACAATTTGCAGCAGTAACACAGCAGCAGCAGCAGCAGCAGTAAAAGCAACAGCAACAAAAGCAACAACAGCGAAAACTGCGTCTGCTGTGCGTCCCTATGCGGAGGTGCCTGGGCCTTATCCGTTGCCATTGATTGGCAATTCCTGGCGCTTTGCGCCGCTAATTGGTTAGTTAAACATGCGAATTAGCACACACACACACACAGAAGCACACATACGGATTATCGCTTAACTCATAGTCAAATCATTTTCACAGGCACGTACAAAATTAGCGACCTCGACAAGGTAATGCACGAGCTGCATATCAACTATGGCAAAATGGCCAAAGTGGGCGGACTTATTGGACATCCGGATTTGCTGTTTGTGTTCGACGGCGACGAAATACGCAATATATTCAAAAAGGAGGAGGCCATGCCGCACAGGTGAGCACCCAAATCCGAATAGCAACTCTAAGCTGATCATTAAAATAGTAGTTTGCAACGGGCAGCTTTATGTGTGCATCATGTGGCAGGGTTGTGGTTATTGAAAGAACAAGTGAAAATGAATATACATGAAATGTTTGCTAAGTTATTTTATATTGGCATAACAAGCAATTGAAAGAGCTTAAAAAGCCAGCAGAGACTTGGAGGCTTATTATTTACATATATTTAGAAAATTTTAATAATTTGCAAGTTTTTCTCTAGAAATTCAACAAAAAGTAACTATCAGCTTTTAAACTTTACAGATTTGTTTAATTAATATAAAGTATATATAAAACACACTTTAGAGTAGTAAAAGAAATACTTTTGTAATTTCAGGAGTAAGCTTAAAACTATTTAAAATACTCAGAAAATCTTAAATAAAATTTAAATAAAATTTAAATTAAATTAAATTAAATTAAATGATTTACTAAAGATTGACCACACAAGACTGTTACTATAGCCAAGAGCTATAATTCAGCAGCTGTTGAGGCTATGCATTGCAAGCGGATTTTTAAATATTCTAAAAGATTTGCCATTTTATCACAAATTCTTCAAAGACTGTTGAATGCTTGAAAATATTTTGAAAAATTTGTAGCTAAATTTTCATGCTGAATATTGAAAGTATAATTTGAAACATACTCAATCTCCGCTAGACACCGTAAATATTGGGAGTTATCATAACGACCCTGTCTGAGTAGCCTAAACAGTCAACTCACTCTCCATATATTTATGGAATCAATTCAAATCAAAGCCATGAAAGCCATTAACAGATTTATATACCTTAAACTAACTTTGGCATAAGTTTTAGAGGTACAAAACTAGGCTTAATAGAGAGTAATTAAGAGACATGACTAAACAGTTTATTAAAATAGTAGCGAAAATGTAATTATATTATAAAACATAAGCCAAATGAAGAGGGAAAAAATGTAAATAATAGAAATACAAACAAATCATCAAACAAATTTTAATTTTAATATTAATGTCAAATTATTTTCAAAACTTTTCGTTTAACACTAAATTGTGCTGTTCAGCATTTGGTGCTCAGTCTCACTACTATTTGCTTCCTGAACATACCTATATATATGAATATATATAACAAATATCTAAAACAGCTTAAATTTAGTATTACATAAACATTTGTGCAATGCAGACGGAGCGAAATTACAGCACAGCAATTGCAGCTTAAGTTAGCTTGAATAAATGCAGCCTAATTGACATATGTAATTTAATGCATGGCTGCATTCAAGCAGACGTCATTATAGTACAATACAGCCCACACGCAGGCACACACACGTCCACACACACACTCACACACACACACACACCGTATGCATGTGATATCCTTGTGCACAGCAGCATCGATTTAATTTGCCTTTTGCCGAGAATGTGGAGAAATGTGTTTTGTATTATTTATGCGCATATTGCATTAAATTCATAATTAAATTATTAAAGTGTGTGTGCGTGTGCGTGTGTGCTCATGTGTGTGCGTGGGAGCAAAGGAGTTGCTTGCTGTTTGCCATGTTGCTTGATAATTAGTTGTAATTATAATGCCATTTGCCCAAATTACGTGCACAATTTGGCCAATTAGAATGTGTGCGTGGCAGCTGATTACGAGTTGCCGAAATATTTAAGCCCACAAGTTTTTGAGCAGCAAAAAAAAAACAGCTTTCACTAGGCCTAAAAAGAAACCACAAAAAAATGCAAAAAAAATATTTGAATGCAAATAAAATGGGCAAATCGAAATAAATCATTTTAGCGGTTTTTTACATTTTTTTCAAATGTAATTTTATATATATATTTATATATAATTTTTTTTTCCATAACAAGAAAGCCCAGCTTGTTAAACTTTCTTTTATTTAAAGCGTTGTTTGTCTTTTTATCTTTTTTTTTTTTGCGTGTTCATTTGGCCATGAACCAATTTCTGTGCAGACCGAGAGAAAAAGGAAAGAGAAATATAAAAATAATAAGCGGCCAATAGACGCGTCAAAAACAAAACTGAACAACAAAAAATGTAGTTGACTTTTTAAGCTTATTTTTAGCAAGTCATCATGAGCGAGGGAGAGAAATAGAGAGAAAGATGAGCGAGAGAGATGTGCACATACAAAGTGTAGATAATAAATTGACATTAGACGTGAATGCGTTAAGGTGTGCAAATGTTTAAAGATTGAAAGATTGATGAATGCCGCGGCGCTAATTGATTGAAAACAAACAAATGTATAAATATATATACATATTTATGTATGTGTGTGTGCGACTGGCTGATTGATGAAGACATTCCAGCTAAAACTCAACGCCTTGCGTGTGGCCACAGTAGAAAACGCTAAAAAAAAAGCTAAAATCTTGTATTTCACTATGTCGCACATAACTCAAGAGTGCAAGTGTGTGTGTGTGTGTGTGTGTGTGTGGGAAAAATGCGAAAGACTCTAAAATACGCATAAACTTGAGATTAGATTCACAGTTGTTATTGTCAGTGTTATTGCTGCTGACAGTCGTTAAAGGCAGAGACGCAGACACATTGTCTGGCCAAATGGTGGTCAACAATTCAGTTGGCCATCTGGCCTACAATTTCGAAATCTATCTCACGTCGACTTACACATGTTAAGCAACAATAAAAAGTTATAAAATATAAATTTTATAATATTTACATTTTGCTACATTTAGTGCATTTTTTAGAGCTCAGCTTTTTTGGGTTTTTTGACATTTTTTCATACGCCCAACTCGGGCATTTGACCTTTGAATGAACTGTCAGCGCTGCTCGTATGTAAATCAAATAGATTTAAAAAAAATTTAGATAAGCATTTTAGTGGTAAGTAGCCGACGCGCAGATACTCTAAGCTGGCCTTTCCAGCTCTCCAAGTGTTAGGGTTTAGCTATAAAAAGTTCTTCTTCGACTGCTTCATTTGTTGACTTACTATGAAATCATAATAATCATAATGAGCATTATGATTGATGATTTGTATGTTGATTATGATGACGCATATTATCATGAGTAGCATCGCTCGCTCTTTTTATTTGCGTTAAGCCACTGAATTAAGGCATTCTTAAATGGAATTTCAAGGCGGTCGCACATTTTTGTAATATTCATGAATTCATATACCAGACATAGATAGCCGCAAGTTGCTTGACTACATAGTTACAAACCTGATCAGCCCTATATAAACTCAGCTATGCCTTCAGCTTGTCTGCTCTATAGATTGTCAAAATAAAACGCAATTATCAAGCGATAGTTACACAAGCTATATAAAGGGCAGGCTAATAACTCAGCTTGTTATAAGAAAGAGCAATAATAATTATATTTTAATTAGACTCTAGATCTTATACATAGTACGAACAGCTCTTTCTTGCCTGTAAATAATTTCTTCAAATTATTTAAATATCTGTGGACAACAAAGATTTGGTTGACCCGGGAGTTAATTTTATGACAAAACTGGTTTAATGCAAATATAAAAAAAAATTTAATTTAAAAAAATTATTCAAAAAACAGGTTTAAGCTTAAAAAGAAACTAAGAAGAAAATAAGAAGTAAAGAATTATTTGATATGCTTAGCTAAGCACAAAAAGGCAACAACAAGAAGAATATATATTTCTTTTGAGTGTGAGCAGAATATTTAAGAACCAAGCGCTGAGAGACTACAAACTGCATTTAAACAAGAGTTAAATGGAATGATTTTGAAAGGTTTTAAAGTATATACTTATAGAGTGACAGATGAATGTAGATAAAGCTTGTTAGCCAGGCAGCAACTGCTCTGTAGTAAAGTCTTAACGAGCTGCAATAAAAAACACTCTGCCTGAATACCCCTAATGTGCGTGTGAGTGTCGAAATAAAGTCATATGACTTTTGTTTTATGCCATTTAATTGAATATTGTTGCCTGGGGCAACGTACAAAGCAAATAGACACTGTATGCGTGGGTGTGTGCATGATACACCCTACTAGGCAGGACACCCTAACCCAGCACACGGCACACAGCACACAACACACTTGCGAAGTCGTAAAACAAAATAAAATGCGACTGTTTATATAGCGACAGGCGAACGTAGCAAGGAATGCAAATACAAGCGCGAATATCTACAAGATACACAAATGTATCTGTATCTTTTACAGTGTTTTTTGTATCTTTTTTGTTTAGAGTGTTTTGTTACTGAATAATGTAAGGCATAAGCCATGTTTGGCGAGTCAAAGCTAAAAACAACTTGCGCCCATTTGACATCATGTTCTTTAAAAAGCATCAAATTGCGGATACGCCGCATTGCCTGCTCATAAAATATATATATACATATATATGTGCTCTTATATATGTATATCTTTTGCTACTTGGCAGACCCTCGATGCCATCGCTGCGACACTACAAGGGTGAACTGCGACGCGACTTCTTTGGCGATGTGGCTGGTCTAATTGGCGTGTAAGTATTACGTTGCATTTGGCAAGGTTTAAGCCGCTGCTGCCGCCCACTCATTCCACCATTCACCTGCTCACAATTAGGCACGGTCCCAAGTGGGAGGCTTTTCGCCAGGAGGTGCAGCAAATACTGCTGCAGCCGCAAACGGCCAAGAAGTACATACCGCCGCTGAATGATATAGCCAGCGAGTTTATGGTGCGGTAAGTTGGCCTGGCCTGGCATCATAGGCGGCTCCTTGGCACCTGCTCAGTCAACGGGTTTATTTTCTGTTTTACAGCATAGACCAGATGCGCAACGAGCGGCAGGAGCTGCCCGACAATTTTCTGCACGAACTGTACAAATGGGCGCTCGAATGTAAGCCAAGAAAATGCTATAGTTGGATGGATGAAAAAAAAAATTGTATTTTTTTGCTTTTATCCTTGCAGCTGTGGGTCGCGTCTCGCTGGACACACGCCTGGGCTGCTTGTCACCGGAGGGCAGCGTTGAGGCGCAACAAATTATTGAGGCCATCAATACGTTCTTCTGGGCGGTGCCAGAACTGGAGCTTCGCATGCCGCTGTGGCGTCTCTATCCCACCAAAGCCTATCGCAGCTTTGTGCGCGCCTTAGATCAATTTTCAGCGTAGGTCGCATTTCGCATTTCGCATTTGCATTTCAATTGATTGATTTATTGCGCGCTCGCAGCATTTGCATGAAGAACATCAGCCAGACGATGGACAAGGCCGACATGGACCAGGCCAGCGATGTACCCAAAAACGAGGCAGACATCTCCATTGTGGAGCGCATCGTTCGCAAAACAGGCAATCGCAAGCTGGCAGCTGTCCTGGCCCTGGATCTGTTTCTCGTGGGCGTCGACACGGTGAGTAATCTTTGCCAATAGTTGCATAAACTCGCAGATTGCTCCACTTCCAATACATATAGCATTACTAAGGGGTATTTAAGACGGATTTGCATTCTGATTGGAATACATTAGGTCTGCACTTTGCATTCCAATTCGAATGGCTTAAAGCTTTGTTTGCACAAGTCAAACTAAAGTTTTGCTTGCTTGATTTACCATTACTAGAGCAGCTGGGTCGTCTAGGCATTCATTTGATAAATTGTTTCAATCTTTCTTATCAGAATCATATTTATTTCATGTGTAAAACTTTAGTAGTATCTATAAGGGTGGATGATGCTGTAGAGATGTGTGCAAACTTTAAACTGATTGAGCTGAAAAACTTGCCTTTAGTCAACAACTAAATCTTTTACTCTCAGTTTTTTTTATAGAGGCTATGAAACTATAACGTTTGTATAGTGTTTAGTTCAGTTATTTTGGTCATAAATTGATATAGTTTTTAAGCCTTAAATACAAGTCAAATATTTGTATGATACATAAACAACTTTGGCCTCATGATACATAATATATTCCTAATTTTTCAGTAAATTATTTACTCTAATCTGCTACAGAGTCTCTAAAAAATACTGAACCAAAATTGATTAGGCTTCAGCTAAATCTTAAGCTTTTTGAAATATTTATGGGAATTATGTATCTGAAACATATATATATATATAGCAATTTTTAGTTGAAGCTATTCATTGGAATCTTTTATGTAGTATTTCTTTTTGAAGACTCATTCAAATTCATTTAATTTATTTTTATTTTACTTATATCACTTGTTAATAAGTGAGTAAAATGTTTAATGAAAGAAAAGAGAAGCAAAAAAAATTATATAAAAATATTTAATATATAAAATATATTTAATAAATTTTATAAATAAAAAATATTCAATATATTTCTATATAATTAAAAAAAATGTATTATTTAGATGATTACAAAATATTTTTAAATTAAAAACAAATTTTGATATTTTATTATTAAAAAAACTAAAGTATATTTTTGTTTATTTTTGATTAAAATTATCAAAGATTTTTAAAATGAAGTTATAGTTTAAAATATAATTTAATTTGAAAAAATTTAAGTAGAAAATGTTATTATAAATATATTTAATTTTATTAGTTTTCTTAAAAAAATTAAATATATTTTTTATAACTTTATTTTTTGCTGTTCTATTCAAAACAATTTTAATTAAATTATAGCTATATAATTTAATTTAAATATTTGTTAAATCATTTTCTGCTTTTTATGCTTTATCAAAATTATAATTTGCAAAAAGATTATCAGCTTTTATTTTCTCTGTAAATTAAGCACATATTGATATGCAAACACGCGGGGTAAATGACAAATGAATAGATTATCAATAGATAGACTCGCTTTTTCCATTTACAGCTGCCCTTCATATCCATGGCATTACACATAATGACAAATAATAAGTGGAATGCATATATTACTGTAATCTAACTACGATAATCGCATGACACAATCATTATTTCCATTACGCCAGGCTATAAATAAAGCTCATTATGTAATTAACGCACAAGCTGCGAAATATCTATATATAAATCTATATATATATATATACATGACTAACTAAAACCCCATTTTGCAGACCTCGGTCGCCGCCTCGTCGACCATTTATCAGTTGGCCAAGAATCCAGAGAAGCAGCAGCGCTTGTTTGAGGAATTGAAACGTGTGTTTCCAACGCGCGATGCCCAAATCAATCAGCACGTGCTTGAGCAGATGCCGTATATGAGGGCGTGCGTCAAGGAGACGCTGCGGTAGGTTCATTTGATATCAACCCAAACGGATTGCCATAAATTTTCGCTACCTTTACAGGATGAAGCCGGTTGTCATTGCAAATGGACGCAATTTGCAGGCGGATGCAGTTATCAATGGCTACCATGTGCCAAAGGGCGTAAGTGGGCGTGGCCGCTAGCCTAATTGATTGCAAGCGATATAAACTTTATGCTCTCCTCTCTACAGACTCACGTCATCTTTCCACATTTGGTGGTGTCAAATGATCCCACATATTTCCCGGAACCCAAACGTTTTCTGCCCGAGCGTTGGCTCAAACAGGGCGCAGGTATGTGCGGAGTGGGCGTGTCCGAATGTGGAATTATTTATATTTTCTAGCTGTATATTCCAGCTGAAGGCTGCCCGCATGCTGGTCAAAAGATACATCCGTTCGTTAGCCTGCCATTTGGCTACGGTCGTCGCATGTGCGTGGGTCGACGTTTCGCCGAAATCGAACTGCATACGCTGCTAGCCAAGGTAAGGAATGACAGCTGTGAGCTGAGCGTGGGTTGAAGTATGAAATTTTAATTGTCTCTTGTTATGGCAGATCTTTCGCAAATACCAGGTATCCTATAATTCCGATGAATTCGTTTACCGCGTCAATTCCACGTATATACCCGAATCGCCGTTAAACTTCAAATTGACGCCACGCGAAGAGTAGGAGTAAAGGAGCAGCAGCAGCAGTGGCCGTTGAGGATTTGCAGCTGTCAGACCACGCGGCGGCTGTGTGATATTTTTAGCAGCACGCATATTTTTATTGTTGTTATTTGCTGTTTGCTGTTTGCTTTTCATTTGCTTGGCTGTCACGCGCTTCTCCTTTTCTTAATTAAGCAAATGTAGCTGAGCCGGGACAGCTACAGCAACAGCAACAGTAGCTTTGTACATACGCACATACCATATATATATATATATATATATATATATCTTTGTTTATGTATTCGTGTTAGTCATCAATTCTAGTTTTACTGTACGCCACCAAAAGTCGTAGTCAATAAAGAGCCTAAAAGTATGCAACGCTTTTTGTTTTTCTGACATTAATCATGCAAGCGCTCGGAATGCATTGGAAATGGCACACGGACAGCATTAGCTTATGCGAAGCATAAAAACGATTATTCATTGGGATTATGTGTCTGTTATGTGACATAAATGTTGAATTATATACATATATATATGCATGATATATGCTGTGCCTATAATGCCTTTGATGAATGCCTGATTAATTGAGGCTGCAGCTCCATGTGTACTGCGACTCATTTCAAGGTCATGCGAATTAGCTGTAAGCTTTTGACTCATGCTTAAATATATAATATATATATATATTGTATTTTTAAATATATATAATATATATATATTGTATTTTTAAATATTTTAATATAACTCATAGCTGACTAAGAACTGCACAAATCATCATAGCTTTAGCTCAATGTGAGCTTTTTTTTTATAATTTCTTATTCAACATTTGATTTAATTTATAAAAAATCAAGTTGATTGGATTGAGGTTTTAGCTGTTGCTTACTCTATGTCCAAGCTGCCTAGCGCTGTTCATGTTATACAACAACGCGTAAAACGTTGCTAGAGAAGAAGAAGAATTGCAAATAATAACAAATCCTTCTAGACTTACAGACTTTATAAACTGTGTAAACCATCTGACCAGCCTGATATAGCGAGTAAACATAGTATGAATTACGAGATTAGAAAAGTAAGACAATGCAAAACATTTGCGCGTATAAAATAAAGTAAAAGGAAAGGCATCACTTCAAGATTTCCATTTTCTTATAAGCAAATAATTCAGTTATCAAAAATTCTGTAGCTGCAGCATCGTAGGGAAAATAAAGATTAGAGACGAGGCAACTGCAACTGCGTATTAGTAAATCTCAGCTGCGTCTCGCCTTGACATCAGCAATCTGTATGAATCTAAAAAACAAAGTAAAGCAAGTGCTACTCACTATTTAGCGGAATCATTCAATTGATATTCGTTGCTGCGAGAGAAGCACTCCTGTACGCCGGCATCCAGCCAAAGCCGTTTCATGGCAGCCAGCAGCTCCTCTGAGAAGGGTTCGGTGTCGTGCATGCGTTGGCACACATCGAACACCATTTTCGCATCACTCTGCAAAAGGGCGAACAAGAGAACAGGAAAATAACATTTAGATTAGAGATAAACGTAACAATTGCCGCCACTCACCTCCCGTTCATTATTGCTATACTGAATACTAAGATTTGGCATGGCTCGCAATATTGCAACTAATGATTGTATTGTGTTGCTGTAGACAACCGGTCGATATTGTTTAAAGTCCTCCGCAGTGAACCCGCTCTCGTGAATGATTTTCATTTGTTTGACTATTGTGCTTTTGCCCGATTCACCGGCGCCTGCAAATAAAGAAGCAACAAAATAAATATAAGATAAGCTGCTCATGCTGCAAAGATATCGCAGTTGCTATAACAGTTCACAAGCTGCTGGCATGGAACAGTAAATACCCTTGGCTTAGAGTCAATAGACAAGCCAGTATGACGGCTCTTCTGCTAGTTTAATTAAAATAAATATGTATATATATATTTTTAATTTGTTTTAATAATAATATATAACACTTGGAGTGGAGCAAAAATAAATCGCGGAAGAGTCATTCGACATCATTTCATTTAATATATTTATTTATATTATATATATATATAGCTATCAAATGGTTTGTAGACAGTAATTCTAGTAAACAAAGCAGTTGCTTTACTGTTATTTATTGCTAAACAAAAAAAAAAAAAACAAACAAGCTTGAGCTGAATGTAAAACTATTTATAACAGCAATGTTAGACATTTTCATAGTTTAGTTATTTCATTAGAATTCTTAGATAAATATAATATAATAATAATCTGATATTTATGAAATATATTATAACAGAAATATATTTAATCAGCAATGTATTATGTAATTAAATAGCTGTGAGAACTGAACAGCGATATTCTCAAGTTTTTATAGCTCATAGCAAAGCAAGTATTAGCTTATTTTTTAAATTTTTAAATTTTCAAATTTTTTTAATTTTTTTCATCCAATTTTACTTAGCCGCTTCTGTTAAATAATATTTTCCGAATTTTCTTTAGCTATTTCTATTAAATTATAATTTCAACTAGAAGACTTCAAGACGAATGCAAAAAGGTTTTTGGACTCTTCCATGTTGCAATCCTAAAAAAAAGTCTTGCATTCTCACAGAAGAGAATAAAAACTGGTAAAACTCTTGTGAGATTAATTTTCAAATAGAAAATAAATAAAATTTTAAGCCAGCAAATTATAAAATTTTTGCGCAGACTAGATTCAATGTAGAAACTGAGCAGCTACAAAAAATTTTCAACTTTAGCGTAGAAGAAAACTTTAGAAAATTTTCAAAAAAAAATATTGAAATTCTATTTTATTCCATATTTATAAAATATTTTTGAAATTTTTTTCAAATTTTCATCAAAATTATCTGTTATTGAATAATATTTCTTTCTCTTAAAATATTCAAAATATTTAATTTTTTCACAAAGTCAAAAATTGAAAGAATTTTAAAATAAAATGCTTAAGTGTATGTAAATTAGATAAACTAGAATTATATTCATCTTTCAAACCATAAAATCTTTAGAACAATAAAACTCTACGCTTGAGAGCGCTTGGCACATTCAATTATACAGTTTATAGTTTCCTCAATATCTAGATAGACAACTAATGATCTTTACTCAACTCAGCTGTTACCTAAACTCCCCAACTTGAAATTAACAGTAACCAAGCTACCCCTTGTAATACGTACATAGGGTATAGTTTTTGCTATTGCAAATCGCCCCAAGCCAGTGTGTGTGGCAAAGATGTAAAGTGCAAAATACAGAAGGCGTCTGATTATGTGCAGTGACGCAAAACGCACTCGGGGCATTTTCACTGTGGGCGTAACAGAATGGCCAGGGGGGTTGGGGTTGGGGTGTAAATATTTATGCACAGATTACAAGTGCATAGTTCGTAGTGAGCTAAATGTGTGCGCTTTGTATTATACAAGTAGAGCTTAATGGCCTTTAGCACACACATCTTGATTATCATTATCATTATCATGATCATCATTACGATTGCCATCATTATGGTCATCTTATGCATCTTATGCTCTTGGCTCGGACTTGTCCGCCGGCTGTAGAACAGCTCTGAACATAACAAAGGCTTAATTGTTGGATTTGAGTTTTTGTTTTTGGTTTTGGTATTCTCTGGTCAACTTAGGTGGTCGACGTCCGAAATTGTTCTATTTGGAGCTCAGTTGTTGCCGTGCGCCTGGCTTCAGTTTCAGCCTTAACTAGCCCGCATCGCCTTTGTCTACTGCACTTTGCCGTCTAATTTTAGCTGCTTTCATTCCACACAATTTTCGCTTGCAATTTTCCCCCATTCTAATTTTCTTTCGTTCTTCATTTTTTCCTCTTGTTATGCCATTATTGAGTGCGCTTGTCTGTGTGTATATTTTAGTTTAGCATGCACTTGTTGATAATCTGAGCGTTTAAGTCAGCTGGAAAATTATTGCTAAAGCGCTTCACAAATTATCTTTGTTAACGATTTTCCTAGAATCTCATTTGCCAGCTAAAGATTTCCATAATTTATTGTTCGAATTTTCAACGAAATTCGTGGGCTGCGACTATTTCTGTTAGAATAATAATAATAATATAATACACATTTCTGGAAAGACTTTTAAGATTGGCTAAAATATTGTTTGCACATTAAACTTTTAGTTTTTATAGCAATTTTCAGGGCAAATATTAATAAATACGATTTATTGTAGATAATTTTAAGGTATCTATACATTTGGCGCTCGCTTTTAAGATGAATAGAACTAAGACAAAGCCGCTAAGTCTATTGGCTTTTAGAAAATATTATTGTATATATACATATAAATATATAAATAAAATACTTGTTGTTTAGAATATTAAATATCTCTATAAGACATAATTTCTATATAGATATCTATATATTTTACATGTCAAATTATCTCTTTATATCTATATATTTCAATATAAAGAAATCTCTAAATATCTATTTCACAATTTTTCTCCATTGTTCATAAAAATAGTAGTGCTGCACTACACAAACTAAACCAAGATATCTCTCTTTACAACTTATAGCACATGGTTCAATAAAATAACTAAAAACTTTTTATTTTATTCCTATTAAATATCAAGTAAAATCTAAAAAGTTCACTACACTAAAACCAAAAGAGTTTACCAAATGCAAATAACATTTGGGCACTTTTCTAGTCGCTGAACTAATTTATGACAATCAAAAGAGAATTTCCGTTTTAAAACAATCCAAATTGTTGCGTTCTATATATAGTGCCGTTAGAGTAAGGCAGGGTCTTTACACGCGTGTTTACATGCTGGACTCTGTCCATAAATTAAGAATGCGCCATGGAAATTTGTTTAGCTTCGAGCTCGAGGTTCATTTAAAGAAAACAGTTCAATGCTCTCAGAATGTAATTGTTAAGAAAATTTCTCGTTTATAAATATCTGTAGGTGTGTGTGCGTGAATGCATCCATTCAAGAACTATTAAAGACAACAATCAACCAGGGAGTTGAGGAACTAAATATACGAGAAATTCTTCGGCCTTAAGTGCAAAGTTTACCTCGCTCAACTAGTGGAAGGCGTTGTTTATGGCTGCCGGCACATGAAATTAATGAGATGTTTGTATTGGGCGAGTGCATAAAATTAAATGCCCACGTAAATTGCATAAATGGCAGAAGCAGGATAGAGGCAGAGCCAGAGAAAAAGCAAAAGAGAAAGAGCTGGAGAAAAAGAGATGAGGCTTAGTTTATTATTATGAATTTGTGCTCGATTTTGGAAAACTCGCATGCACTGAAATTTATTTTAAATAAACATTGTTTTTCAGTGTGACAAAAGCAAACATAACACACACACACACTCATATATATTTATCAAGAAATGCTGAGCAGCATTTTAACATTTTGTACAAACACGCAAAACTGTCAGAAA